ACAACTTCGAAATCCATTGTTTATACATATACAATATTAATTAGGTAGACAGTCCTTCATAAACTTATCAATTTATTTCTAGATCAAAAAATGTTAGCCAGACAAGTTAGACACATTAATTAAAAAAAATATAATATTAGTGTTAAATTGTTCCTCAAGTTAGCTTTGCTAATACGTCAGAAGCAAGAGCGCTCTTGAGAGAGTTTAAAGGCAGATACGAAATCTAAGATGCTGTGGCCTCTATTTTGGTCGCAGTCTCCTTTCGATGTATAGTAGTTGCTTGATCTGTTTTCGCAACTTGATCTTGTCGACATGTCAAATTTGTTGAACTCACCTTATCCGAAGTCCTATGTCACAGTAGTTATCATAATTGCCAGCATCAGACGCTGGACTTGGTACATTCTCAGATGTTTTCCCGGCATCGTAGTCAGCATCATCAGTTAGTCCTGCCATTCTCCGTACCAAACTACAACTCGTCTATTTGAGAGAGCTTTGCCTGACTTCTGTAAGGCTGAAGAACAAAGAAAAAATAGATCCCATGATAAAAGTTAATATCAGACTCATTTCGAATGACTTCGCCTAATAAACTACACCTATAGAGTAGGGGATAAATAATCACAATGATAAACTTAAGACTTCAGATAATGTAATCAAATAAAATATAAATTAGCAGCAAAGTTCCAAGGGATGAGTTAAGGAGGAGTGTAGACTAGACCAGTAACATAAACGGCATGAAGGACGCAAGCCTTACCGATAGGGTCCAAGAAGAGGCCAGAAGTGATAATGAATTACAGTTTATTTTATAAGTAAAATACATATTGAGACACTAAGCAAGCAAGTTACTCATAGCATAAATAAATTTAGGCAGAATGATATAAACGTGTTTTGACCAGGCAAAAGAGAGCAGTTGTAGTTAAGGAAAGAGGAGAAATGTTGTAGGCTTTAGATGTTTTTGGAGTATAACCAAATGAAGCTAATTGCAGAATCATGTCACTTTTCCTCAATTCGTTCAGTTGATATATGAGCAAGTGGAATAGCATGGATATTTGCTAGTAAGTTTAAATGTAGCTTCATTGTGCATAAGTGTGCCCTTCAGCAAGACAAAAAATTTAATGATGGATACCATGTAGCTTAGCCTTGACAGCAAAATATAAAAGTAATTATGAGGTTCATTCATGAAATCGTATTTGCCCCTGATTTCGGCGAAATACTACATTGTAGAATCGAAAAAATAGTCTCGACTTCTACCTTATTTGTTGAATATAAGAATGACTATTTTTCTGTTTGCCAATACAATAAAGATAGATTTTTTCAAATCAATAAAGAGAAAAGATGCAATGATTAAACTAAGCCTGGAGTCTGGAAAGGATGATAGGTTACCCTTTCTGAATAAACCAATTAGTAACTAGAGATTCAAGTTGGATAAGCGACCCATATATGAGACTCACAAATGTGGGTAATTTTCTTGAAATTCCTTTTTATCCAATGTCATGGAATTAAATTTGCAGGTATGAAAACAATGGCAGTAAGAACTTTTGGTTAGTTAAAGTAAAACTCACACATTAGCAAATTGAATGATTAAGGAGATTACTAACTACTTGATAGTATCGAGTAGTTTTGTCGATAATTGTGTCGTAACACACGATCGGATAGAGGGAAGCAGATACTTAGGCATGGACTAGAAGGTGAACAATTCTACAAATTTTTGTAACATTTTGCAAACTTTTGAACAAGTTTTACGAGTATATAAAAAGATATATTAATACTTTCCTTTGTCCTGGATTTACGAGAATATTCGGGTCCCTCCTTCATCCAGGGTTGTTACAAGGCTTTGTGCTCATGTGAGGGCATTTAGGAGAGGAGACTGTTTTCTCATACAGAGATTATCTGAACAAAAATCCTTCTGCAAAGTTTTTTTAATGCTTAAATTAGAATTATCTGAATGAATTTCCAAAACGGAAGACTTAGATACAATATGGAGATTGCAAAACTAAGTTGAGGACTAGAGTGTCACTAGAAAAAAACAAGACAGCAAACATCCTGAAGAGGAGGACAGAATCTGGGAAATTAAGGAAGAACTTATTCTGGCTTTCGGATAGAATTGAGGAAAAAGGATGAGCTATCAAGTAAGCAGAGTTTATTATTTAATCAAATACATACAAATTCACATGAATGTTACATACACACAACACATGCACAATCACACACCATAACATTTGTGATTATTGCCCTGCAGTGGAGTTCGCGTAAAAACATCGCTAATTGACCATTTCAGCCTTCATTTGCCTCATCTGTAAATCTGTAGGAAAAAGCATTGAAGTGGCTGTAGTCACACCCAGGCATTTGTTTCCTTGAGGTTAGGGGCTATGGAGAGAGGATCCAGAAAATTCATCCTTGTTGTATAAATAAGTATTTCTAAAACCTTATAAACTGCTAACCGTTTCTAGGAGTAATAATACATCATTGCAATTATATATAGATATGTATATACACACATATTTGACAAATTAGTCAGTGTTTTATGTCAATATGTAGTTCGAAAACTATGGCCTGTAATGTATGGGCGGGCAAATAGGGTGTTTAATGACATAGTTTTGAAAATAATCCGGTTTATCCCACTTATGTCCAAGTTGAGTGGTGGCATATTCACGTGAATCAATGTTATACCTTTACACAAATCAACTCGAATCTATCCTTCATGCATGAATAATGCTTTGCTAATAATCCCATTTTTTGTTATTCGGCCAGGAAACTGGGACTTAGACAGATTGTCTCGTCAGGATTTCTTCAGCTTGGCTTACATGACTGCTGACCGCTACATGTTCGATCCGACCAAACATATTGGTGGATTCGGCATGGTGATCGACATGGGCGGTATGACTTCAAAGCAGATGACCTCACTTAGCGACAGAAAGCACAACAAATTCTCAACCAAAATATGGCAAGTGAGTTGCAGCTAAACGAATGTCGAAATGACACTTTGGTTAGTCGAGAGAAAGAGAACCTTTAACAAGTGAGGATTGTTGGGGTGATTTTCAATCCGTAGGAAAAGGCATGAAGAAGAGACTCGTAGGTCTATCCCAGCAGAAGAGGACTGCTGAATCCTGTTGTACTGTAGTTGTTCGGCATTTATACAAAGTTTAGGTTGACGCAGTTTACGAGACATCTTCCCTCGTCTCGGATGAGAACGGGATGAGATTTCGTCCATCATATGATGGGCATCATCGGAGCTGGGTTTCATTTCTGTAAAGGTCTCACGTTAACACTAGGCCAAGAAGACTATCCAGGTCTATCTTGCCTCTTAAATAGACGCAATTAAGCAAAATAATACTAAAAATCTAGATAGATATAGAGTGTTTTGGCTAATTATCTTTCATACTGGTCCTGCTAACTTTGCTCGAGTGTGATTGTCAGCGTCTCTACTCAATACCGGTCCTAAATCAGAGTTATCAAAAGGCTAATGTCAGGCTTTTATAATCGAG